ACTGCACGTCCCACTTTGTATACAGCCCCTGCTCCACTTTTCCCAGAAGATGTAGATGGTTATAATTGTATGATAAAGTTGTTTTGGCAAGAAAAGGACCTGACTGAGGAGACAAAGACAGTCCCTAGCAACTGTTCAATGTTTGAAGTATTGTTTCCAGAATTGGATTCAGAAATTCAGCCCCCTATGTTTTCCCACAGGAAAAGCAATTACACCTGTTTCCACTCACTCAATGGAGGGACGAGGCCGCGTCTCCAGTGGGGGTTCCTTCCAGCAGACTGGTGTGTCAACAACGTGACCTTGCCCAGTCCGGTCCCCATGACCCGGACCAGAGGTGATTTGTATTGGTTGTGTGGAGATTTAAAACTTAGACATAGACTAATAAAAAAATTTTACAGGCAGTTGTGCAATGGTGCGATTAATGATGCCCATTTCCATAATTGGCCATAAGCCATCCCTAGACAGTCCCCACCCACTGCATAGATTTAAAAGAGCAATACCATTCCTAGATACTGGGAAAGATAATCCAATTTACATGGACTCTATAGGTGTTCCACGTGGAGTCCCTCAGGAATTCAAACTGGTAGATCAAATTGCAACAGGTTTCGAAAATATTCCCATAATTTCCGCTATTTTCCCTATCACGCCAAACAAAAATGTAGATAGAATTAATTTCATTTGGTATACTATGCTTAGGCTTGCCAATCACACCAGGGACGCAATAGAGGGATTGGCGGAGCAGCTGGGGCCACCTCTCTGGTAGCATTTCAAAACAGAGTGGCTCTAGACATGCTCTTAGCAGAGAAAGGTGGGGTCTGCAGTCTATTTGGTACAGAATGTTGTGTATACATTCCAAATAACACACATCCAGATGGATCAGTTTCCAAAGCTCTGGCTGGTCTCAAAATGCTGTCAGAGCAAATGCATGACGTTTCTGGAGTCCCGGAGAACCCACTGGAGGCGTGGCTGGACAGCATCTTGGGGAAGTGGAAGCATGTAATTTTGTCTGTTATCACAAGCCTTGCGGCCATCTTTGCAATAATAATGGTTGTAGGATGTTGCTGTATACCTTGTATACGTTCTCTTTGTGTTTAAAGCTATAGACACCGCTGTTAACCCTGGACTGAGAGGTCAAATGCTTGCATTGGTTGAGGATTCCCCCGTCCCGTCGCCTGAGGAAGGTTATTGAGATGTGTGGCCTTTCTAATAGCGGCCAAAAGAGGGAATGTTGTATTTATAACTAAGAGACATTCTAAAACCATGTGTTTTAGAATGTCTATCGACCTCTGAGGGGCAGGCCAGTCCTTTTAAGTTAATTTTAGGGGTCTTCTTGGACCTGCTAAATGACAGATGGGTTCTTCTGTTTGGATTTTGGCTGACTGTTGCATTATTAAACCCACTCCATCAGGAGTGGGATGACACTGGAGCCTGCTAGTCTACCACTTGTTTAGACCACAGAGATGGATCTCAGACTAAGAGACAGCTGGACCAGAGACGTTAGGCTAGAGAGGCAATGGATTCTTTTTCAGATGCAGACGGGAGAAGACAGATGGAGGGAGGCGGACCACGGGACCCCGGAAGCTGGCTGATACCACGCCCCTTCTTCCTGCACATTTTACTTAAGGAAATAGCTTGAATGTGTGAGTTAGAGTTTTTTTTAGACTGGATCAGGGACAGCAGTGTGAGTTTGCGTGGAGCGCCCACCAAAATCATACTTTATACTTTATATAGGGAATAAGGGATAGTTAAAGTTGGTCCAGGTCGTTGTGTTAGATTCTTTTTGTATTAGGGAAATAAACCTTTTTGAATTTAACTTTCTGAATCATGGTCATCTTTATAAGGGATTTTGAACACGTCATTTTTTAATATAATATCTGCCAGGCCTGCGGGTGGCACTGTGACGCACTGGGATCAAGGCCAGACTTCCTCTCTCTCCTCTCCACTGTGTCTTTTTTCTCCTCTCTAATCTCGCCTCTCCTGCCTCTCCGTTCTCCCTCTCTCCTCTCCTCTCTTCTAATCAATTTGCCTCTCCTCTCTCCTCTTTTCTCTCTCTTCTCTCCTCTCCTATCTCCTCATCTCTGCTTTATCTCTTCTTCTCTAGTCTCTGCTCTCTCTCCTCTCTAGCCCTCTGTCCTCTCCTCTCTCTAGTCTCTCCCCTCTCCCCTCTCTTTTATCTTTTGTCTCTTCTCTTTTTTCCTCTCCTCTCTCCACTATCTCTCTCCTCTCTCCCCTTTCTCTCTCCTCTTTCCTCCATCTCTCTCCTCTCTCCACTATCTCTCTCCTCTCTCCCCTATCTCTCTCCTCTCTCCACTATCTCTCTCCTCTCTCCCCTTTCTCTCTCCTCTCTCCACTATCTCTCTCCTCTCTCCCCTTTCTCTCTCCTCTCTCCACTATCTCTCTCCTCTCTCCACTATCTCTCTCCTCTCTCCCCTTTCTCTCTCCTCTCTCCACTATCTCTCTCCTCTCTCCCCTATCTCTCTCCTCTCTCCCCTATCTCTCTCCTCTCTCCACTATCTCTCTCCTCTCTCCACTATCTCTCTCCTCTCTCCACTATCTCTCTCCTCTCTCCACTATCTCTCTCCTCTCTCCCCTATCTCTCTCCTCTCTCCACTATCTCTCTCCTCTCTCCACTATCTCTCTCCTCTCTCCACTATCTCTCTCCTCTCTCCCCTATCTCTCTCCTCTCTCCACTATCTCTCTCCTCTCTCCCCTTTCTCTCTCCTCTCTCCACTATCTCTTTCCTCTCTCCCCTATCTCTCTCCTCTCTCCACTATCTCTCTCCTCTCTCCACTATCTCTCTCCTCTCTCCCCTATCTCTCTCCTCTCTCCACTATCTCTCTCCTCTCTCCACTATCTCTTTCCTCTCTCCCCTTTCTCTCTCCTCTCTCCACTATCTCTCTCCTCTCTCCCCTTTCTCTCTCCTCTCTCCCCTTTCTCTCTCCTCTCTCCCCTATCTCTCTCCTCTCTCCCCTATCTCTCTCCTCTCTCCTGGGCCAGTATTACCCATAACGTAGTTTTCTCAGACAAAAATGACGTTCTTTACAATCACATATATGTTTTTGCAACTGGTATTTTTTGAATTTGGGAAAAAACAAAAACTCTACACCTCCCCCTGGTGGTGGCATAGGGATACTGCAGGCCAATAACAACATTTACCCTTCTTGTTCCACCATATATTTTCTACTTAAGATATCATTTCACATTCTAAGGTATGAGATGGCAAAGTAAATTGTCTTCCTATAATCTTAATGTTCTTAGATACACTAATAAAAGGAGATTTTGCATCGTATGTACAAAGAGCATTAACTGGGAGAAGGGCACTCTCTGATCTAGCGAAAAACACAGCGAAAATACATTGGACAACTGTAGTTATTAACATTCACCTCTGGGTCAAACTAACCCAGTGCAAATAGGGCTTTTGTTACGACCCAAAATCCCGTGTTTCATAAATTACTTCCTAACATCCAATTTCTTATGAAAGCCGGTTTCAACACTTTCAAAAGACAGTAATGAACAAAAAGTGAATTACTAATTGAGAAGGCGCCAAAAAGATCCTTTCAAGTCTCTATCTCTTCATCTCTGTGCAACGAGACTCAAAGACAGAGTCCAGACCGAGTCCAGACTGAGGGTTTCAAATGAATGAATAATGCAGACATTACTCAAGACATGTTCATGATTTAGAAATGTCTGATTTCAGAGTTGGTTCTGACTTAAAAGCATCATTTTAATACATTTTAATAAACATTGAACCAGTCCGGCCCTCGGCTTGTAGCTAATTATTTTTTTTGGCCTCTGATGTATTTGACTTTGACATCCCTGCTTGTATTATATATATTTTTACCGTATTATCTTGTGTCCTTAATAAAGATTTATCCAAATCTTTTTAATAATAACTAGGGTTCACTGTGGACTTAAAGCTGATTTGAAACTGATTTAAAGAAGTGGACTATGGAATTCATTGCATAGTTACAGTTGTTGTCGTTAGAAAGTCAGGTACCTCAGCTTTAACAAACAAATAGAATGTGCATAAACATAAGTCATGTTCCCAACAGCCCCTACTCTACTCTACTCCCGAGTCCCCACAACAAACTGGGGAAATTACAGTAGCACTCTGGCCAATCATTGTCAGTTAGAACACTTTAGTACCAGCTCGGCCTGGATAGAACCAGGACCAAGTAGTACAGTAGAGTAGAGTAAAGTAGAGTAAGGTAGAGTAGGGAAAAGTAGAGTAGAGTAGAGTAGAGTACAGTAGAGTAGAGAACGGGCGGTGGCTGAGTGGAAAGCACTCTCGCTTCTCAGCAAGACTGTTCTGAATTCGAATCCCGGTTGGAACAGGGGTGTCACGTGATGAAGTGAATGAAGACCCAAAATTGCAGGAATGCCAAAAATAAGGGTTTAATGAGAAAAAAGTCCAGATGAAACCAACTCAGAATCCAAAACCAAAACAGGACCAGGAACAGGACGGAAACAGACAGAGACAGAGACAGAGACATGAACAAGACAAGACAGGACGTTGACAAGACAATGGACTAGCAACAAGGGGAGAGAAGCACAGGGTACATATAGACACAGACACAGGTGAAACACATCAGGGCGGGGCAGACAATCAAGACAGGAGACCAGGACAGGAAGTACAACTAAAACCAAACCACAGAGAACAATGTCAGAATAAAACAAAAATACAAAAATAACACCCACACCATGACAAGGGGCTTTCTGAGTGGGGTTTGCATGTTCTCCCCGTGTTTGCGTAGGTTTTCTCCGGGTGCTCCGGTTTCCCCTATCACTAAAAACATGTTCAGGGTGAATGAGTCTGTGTTTGTGAGTGCGAATGTGGGACAACACATGCAAATTAGTCCATGGCTACAATCCGGAGTGATGTGTTCATTAACATGCACTGTCCCAACCAAATAAACAATAAATACATAAAATAGTAGTAGAGTAGAGAAGACCAGAGTAGAGTAGAGTAGAGTAGAGTAGAGTAGAGTAGAGTAGAGTACCTGTTCTCTTGGTGGTGGATGGAGAGTATGACCCCAGAGTTCAGATGCTCTTGTCTGACCGTCGCTAACACCGTGAACTCCTTCTTTCCTCTGAGTTTCTGGATCATGGACCTGGAGACTTCAGGAGCAGCCTTCACCTCCCGAGACGAGCCTGAGAGACACACAACAACACGTCAGACTGAAGCTGCCAAACAACACAACAACACTAGAGTAGAGCGGGGCAAAGTAGAGTAGATTGGAGTAAAGCAGAGCAGACTAGAGTAGAGTAGAATCGTGTATTTTATTTATTTATATATTTGACAGGGACAGTACAAAAAAACATTGTCACCCACAGGTAACCGATGTGAAGTACACAAGGCTTCTAGCCAAAGGCTAATTTGCAGCCCCCGTCCCTGGTTAGGGACATAGCAGAGTAGCGTAGAGTAGTATAGAGTAGAGTAGAGATGAGTAGAGTAGAGTCGAATAGGGCAGAGTAGAGTAGAGTAGTCTAGTAGAGTAGGGTAGAGTAGAGCAGAGTAGTGTAGAATATTGCAGAGTAGAGTAGAGCTGCATGTAGATCCCGTAGATCATGTAGAGCAGTAAGAACTTATTGCTGATTCTAGTGTTGTTCTAGTGTTCAAAGTTGATCAATAAGAAATACTTTACAGGAAGAAAAAACCAAAGTTCCCTCAAACATGTGTTTCCTTTTACAATAATAAAAAATAAGATCTTCTCTGCTCTGTCTCTGACCCCGAGCTCTCTCCGTGCTCTCAGACTCAGAGAAGGACACTTGAAGCAGAGTCCTTGTGCTCCTTCAAGGTTCGATATGTTCCAGAAGCTTCCACAGACTTCTTCTACAGCAGAGTTAGCTCCATTCACACCACAACAAACATCTGATCAACAACAAACATCTGATCAACAACAAACGTCTGATCAACAACAACAAACATCTGATCGACAAACGTCTGATCAACAACAAACGTCTGATCAACAACAAACATCTGATCAACAACAAACAACTGATCAACAACAAACATCTGATCAACAACAAACATCTGATCAACAACAAACAACTGATCAACAACAAACGTCTGATCAACAACAAACGTCTGATCAACAACGAACGTCTGATCAACAACAAAAATCTGATCAACAACAAACATCTGATCAACAACAAACGTCTGATCAACAACAAACATCTGATCAACAACAACAAACATCTGATCAACAACAAACGTCTGATCAACAACAAACATATGATCAACAACAAACGTCTGATCAACAACAAACATCTGATCAACAACAACAAACATCTGATCAACAACAAACGTCTGATCAACAACAAACATATGATCAACAACAAACATCTGATCAACAACAAACAACTGATCAACAACAAACATCTGATCAACAACACACATCTGATCAACAACAACAAACATCTGATCAACAACAACACACATCTGATCAACAACAAACGTCTGATCAACAACAACAAACATCTGATCAACAACAAACGTCTGATCAACAACAAACAACTGATCAACAACAAACAACTGATCAACAACAAACATCTGATCAACAACACACATCTGATCAACAACAACAAACATCTGATCAACAACAAACATCTGATCAACAACAAACAACTGATCAACAACAAACGTCTGATCAACAACAAACATATGATCAACAACAAACATCTGATCAACAACAAACAACTGATCAACAACAAACATCTGATCAACAACACACATCTGATCAACAACAACAAACATCTGATCAACAACAACACACATCTGATCAACAACAAACGTCTGATCAACAACAACAAACATCTGATCAACAACAAACGTCTGATCAACAACAATAAACATCTGATCAACAACAAACATCTGATCAACAACAACACACATATGATCAACAACAACAAACATCTGATCAACAACAAACAACTGATCAACAACAAACATCTGATCAACAACACACATCTGATCAACAACAACAAACATCTGATCAACAACAACACACATCTGATCAACAACAACACACATCTGATCAACAACAACACACATCTGATCAACAACAACACACATCTGATCAACAACAACAAACATCTGATCAACAACAACACACATCTGATCAACAACAACACACATCTGATCAACAACAAACGTCTGATCAACAACAACAAACATCTGATCAACAACAAACGTCTGATCAACAACAATAAACATCTGATCAACAACAAACATCTGATCAACAACACACATCTGATCAACAACAACACACATATGATCAACAACAACAAACATCTGATCAACAACAAACAACTGATCAACAACAAACATCTGATCAACAACACACATCTGATCAACAACAACAAACATCTGATCAACAACAACACACATCTGATCAACAACAACACACATCTGATCAACAACAACACACATCTGATCAACAACAACACACATCTGATCAACAACAACAAACGTCTGATCAACAACAACAAACATCTGATCAACAACAACAAACATCTGATCAACAACAAACGTCTGATCAACAACAATAAACATCTGATCAACAACAACAAACGTCTGATCAACAACAAACAACTGATCAACAACCAACATCTGATCAACAACAACACACATCTGATCAACAACAAACATCTGATCAACAACAAACATCTGATCAACAACAACACACATCTGATCAACAACAAACATCTGATCAACAACACACATCTGATCAACAACAACAAACATCTGATCAACAACAACAAACATCTGATCAACAACAACAAACATCTGATCAACAACAAACAACTGATCAACAACAAACATCTGATCAACAACAACAAACATCTGATCAACAACAAACAACTGATCAACAACAAACATCTGATCAACAACACACATCTGATCAACAACAACAAACATCTGATCAACAACAACAAACATCTGATCAACAACAACACACATCTGATCAACAACAAACGTCTGATCAACAACAAACATCTGATCAACAACAAACGTCTGATCAACAACAAACATCTGATCAACAACAAACGTCTGATCAACAACAAACATCTGATCAACAACAAACAACTGATCAACAACAAACAACTGATCAACAACAAACGTCTGATCAACAACAAACATCTGATCAACAACAAACATCTGATCATCAACAAACGTCTGATCAACTACTGTGATGAAGAAGGTTGACAGGAAGGTGACATTTAACGCTTAAGGCTTACAAGGTTCTATTAATAAGACAAAAAGGTAAAGAAAGTTAGTACTGCTTAATTACTTGACATCTTTTGGCGGAGACTTCCGCCTTTGCCAGAGGTGACACGTGATGGTGTGACTCTGATCGGCTGTTGTTGCCGTGACCACGACTCTGTGAGATCTGTCAGACTGACTGCATCCGGCAACAACAGCTGACAGGAGACGCGTCACACCATCACGTGTTTACGGCCAAAACATGTGGTAATGAAGCAGTACTAGCTTTCTTTACTTTTTTGTCTTATTAAAATAACTCTCTAAGCCTCGCACATCAGACTAAATTAACTTCTCACATTTGATTTTTCAACTCTTCGTAAATAACCAGAATCATCAAATTGTCTAAATTTTTTATATAATGTTTCTCAATACTTTCTATCAATAAATCAATCCAAATGTATTTCTACAGCACGGTTTATACAGAATGCAACATGAAGTGCTTCACATTGTCCACATTTTAAAAACAAATTATAAATGTTTATGCATTTTTACAGACCAAGGTCACCCAAAGTGCTTTACAATGTTCAGAGTTCATATCTGTTTCTGGTTCAGGTCCGGAAACCTGCCTCCCCATGTACTTTAAATTGACCATGCCTCTCACTCTTTCTAACCATAGATGGTGTATATTAGCGGACATAGCGACGCCTATTTTCGCCGGTGAAATGTATGTGTGTCACATACTACAGCGGAGGCTGTGTCATGTGTGCTCTCGTTAGCCGGTGTAACGCCGAGATACACTTCCTTGAAGAGATGCACTTCCCCAGCTGTTTATGATGTAATGCAAACCTGCGCATGCGCGTCTCACGGCAACCGAAGCAAACCAAGATGGCGGACCGTGAATTGCTTTAAAAGTTGAAATACGAACGAATTAAGACACGAATGTCACTTTTAATGCAATTTGAGGCGAGATGTTGATGGTTCCGTTTTGTCACATGTGAGTTTTAAGAGTCAAAGTTTCGTGCAAAGTTTAGTTTAAGCAGTCAACTGCGCCTGTGAAACCACAAAGCTAATGTTTTCATAGCAGTCCGCGGCTGCTGACGTAGGCTGATGACGCGTCCTGTGGCAACTCTACAGCTTACAACTGGTCTGTCGGGTTGATAATGGAAATAATAAATTTCATTCAATACATGTATCGTACTGTATTTAATATGATTAACAATAGTGTGTTCAAACAAAATATTTAATTAGATTGATTTTTTTCCCCATTTTCCATTATCAACCCGACAGACCAGTGTAGAGTGGCCACAGGACGCGTCATCAGCCTACGTCATCAGCCTACGTCAGCAGCCGCGGACTGCTATGAAAACATTAGCTTTGTGGTTTCACAGGCGCAGTTGACTGCTTAAACTAAACTTTGCACGAAACTTTGACTCTTAAAACCCACATGTGACAAAACGGAACCATCAACATCTCGCCTCAAATTGCATTACAAGTGACATTCGTGTCTTAATTCGTTCGTATTTCAACTTTTAAAGAAATTCACGGTCCGCCATCTTGGTATGCTTCGGTTGCCGTGAGACGCGCATGCGCAGGTTTGCATTACATCATAAACAGCTGGGGAAGTGCATCTCTTCAAGGAAGTGTATCTCGGCGTTACACCGGCACCAGCCTGACACGGCGTTCATTTAACACATTCATTCAAAGGTCCACAGCGGCTAAACTGGCCTGGTCCAAAATAAAAATACTCCCCTCAGCATTGACACACTTTTGGAAGTTAGTGTTGAGCCAAGAGTCGACTTTTGGACCGGGCCCTAAAGCTGTTTTCGAGACCATGGCCCTTTTGGAGCCGGGACCCACCCCCAATGGTTCTAACCATAGACTGTAAATATTAACGCCTATCTCCGCCATTCAAACTAATGTGCCACAACTTTTGGCTTCTATGGGCAGTTTCAAAATGTTTAAAAAATGCATTTGCACATGCGTAAGCTGCACAAGCCCCATTCATTTGACGAGTGCCTTCTGAAGTCCACAGCGACAAAACATAAATAGACTCCCTTCAGCATCAACACACATGTGGAAGGTAGCATTGGGCCAAGAGCCGACTTTTGGACCATCTTGTAAAGATGTTTTTGAGAGGTAAGAAGAGGTACCCCCACTGGCCTGAGATAGTATTGCAAGCATGTCAGCGCACTTCATTTTGGACATTTTTGAGCCGGGACCTGCCCCCACTGGTTCTAACACATATACTATATCTTAATCATCAAACCCAATACCTGGAGTGAGCACCTTTTCAGCCTCTTCTGTACTTTACTATAACACTTCTTGAACCAGTTCCAGCAGTAGTTTTTGTCTCAGAGCCTGAGTTCCACAGCTGCAGCAGAGAAAGGCTAATGCTACGCTAGCCTGGTCTCCGTGTGTGGTTATTTCTCCTGCTCGGTCTCCCCTGGGCTCGCCCCTCTCCTCCTCTTCGGTCCGACACAGACCTTTCTTGCTACTTTAATGGAAGCATCAATAAAAGATGGCGTTTCACATCAAAGCCTCGGCTCTGGAGATGGGAGGGAAGCACGCGCTGACCTGGCACAGTTCGGTTCTTCCTCTATATTTACACGACTTACACCAGCGAGGAGGAGCCAATTAGCACCGTGTGGGAATGTCTAAGAATACGTAACATGGATACATATTTACAGTTGGACCTACGGAGCTAGATTAGTATTCTGTGCAGCTGCTGAGTGGTTAGCGCTCTCGCCTCTCGCTAAAAAGGCTCACAGGGCTTTTCTGAGAGGACGTCGCATTCTCTATTCTCATACCATTAAAGAAATGTACAACGCAATAAAGCAATGAGCAAATCCAGCCGAGCAGAGGGCATATAATCTCACAAATGTTGGAATATTTAATCTGCGAGAGTGTGGTACAAATGACTGAATGTGGAAACTAACCTACTTTTGTTCTTTGGCGGGGAATGAGAGAGAGAGGGATCAGAAAGAGAGCAGAGAGAGGGACCAGAGTGAGAGAAAAGGGAGAGAGAGAGAGAGAAAAGAGACCAGAGAGAGAGAAGAGAGAGAGCAGAGAGAGATAGAAAAAGAAAGAGACCAGAGAGACTAGAAATAAACCAGAAGGAGAGATGAGAGAGAGACCAGAGAGAGAGGGAGATGGAGTAGAGAGAGAGAAGAGGCAGATAGAGACCAGAGAAAGAGCAGCGAGAGAGAGAGACCAGAGAGACCAGACAGAGACAGATCAGAGAGACACTAGAGATGAACCAGAAGGAGAGACGAGCGAGAGAGACCAGAGAGAGAGACTAGAAAAAGAGAGACCAGAGAGAGACACTAGAAAAAGAGAGACCAGAGAGAGACTATAGGTAAACCAGAGAGAGACCGCAGAGAGAGACTATAAAAAAGAGACAGTAGAGAGAGAGAGACCAGAGAGAGAGAGAGACCAGAAAGACTACTCCTATGTATGTCTATGGTTTTTACCAGTACAGCCCTGTCCAGTCTTGCTCGGGAGATTCTGGCAGTGAACCTCCACGAAACAAGGTACACGTTTGCATTTACTTTAAACAGCACTTAGAATGTGCCTGTGTCTCTAAAGTGCTTCAGTGACACACTTCTTGTCATTTCTGTCCAAATCAAGCAGCTCTCTCTCTGAGTCTGTGGTCCTCCAGAGACAGACCAGGCCTTGCTTTCATACATTTTACATTTTTTTCCTGGTGTCATTGGCTGGAGATGCACAGATGGTCCAGTGACTGAGGGCCAGAGAGAGAGAGACCTGCCGGGCCATAATCTGCCTCCATCAATGCCATCCATTTAATGAGCAAATCCAGTTGAGCAGAGGGGATATAATCTCACAAATGTCGGAATATTTAATCTGAGAGAGTGTGATCTAAATGCCTGAATGTGGAAAGTAACCTACTTTTGTCCTTTGGCTGGGAATGAGAAAGAGCAGAAAGAGAGCAGACAGAGAGACTATGAGAGAAAGCAAAGAGAGAGACCAGGGAAGAGAGAGAGAGCAGAGAGAGAAGGACCAGAGAGAGAGAGTGAGAGAGACCGGAGAGAGAGAAGAGAAAGAGAGACCAAGGAGAGACCAGATCTGGCCAGAACGCATTCAATTCAATTTAATCTGTATCAACCTAAATCACAACAGTAGTTACTTTATCTCAGAGGACTTTACACAAGAATTCGCCAACACAGATCAAAGAATCAAACAGTTCAGACACAACAAATACAATGATAAAAAACACATTGGTATTGGTCCATAGGGGGCAGTTGACCAATGTCCATTAATGTTGATAAATGTCCATAAATGTTGTTGAATGTTAATTGTCCTGGATCATCACCACTTTCCTTTGGTTAGAGCCTTCTGCATCGACAAGGAACAACTCTAAAACCCAGTGAGAAAAGGTAAGAAACCTCGAGAAGGCCCACATTGAGAAAGGGATCTGCTCCCACGGACGGAAGGACCAGTGGGGGTGGCTCAAAAATGTCCAAACTGATGTGTGCTGACATGCTGCAATACCAACCCGGGCCAGTGGGGGTGGACCCGGTAAAATACAGTAATTACTCAATGCTAATGTGTGGCATCCTCTTACCTCTCAAAAACAACTTTACAGAATGGTCCAAAAGTTGCTCTTGATGTCAGTCGATGCTGACGTATTTCTTACGTCTAGTTTGGCCGCCAGTCTAGTTTAGCCGCTGTGGAATTTTGAAGGCACTCGTTAAATGAATGGGGCTGATGCAGCTAACGCACGCGCAAATGTGGTTTTTCACATTTTCCAGCCCCCTGCAGCCCATGAGTCGGGCAGGACAGTCCACAGGCGCATCACTTCTGCTAATGTTGGGGACATCGACGGTGCGAGAATGAGCCAATGAGCTCAGAGCATTGACCTGAACGAACAGACGTCTTGGAGACTTAGACACGATCACAGATATTGACGACCTGATTGTAGCTGAATGTAGCAGAGACGAGTGTGATTAGCAGGAGTCTCTTCTAAATGACATGTCTATTATGGG